GTGTTTGCATCCAACACCTAAACTTAATGCAACAATATATGTAATAATAATACTATAAGCTGCAGATTCGAAAAATAGGAGGCTTAATATATAAGGGCTTGCCTTTCACAAAGTTGCAAGGGCGGTGGTCGGGGCACTCAACGGCGACCTCGTCGGTACTTCTCCTGAAGGTTGCTCCTCCACGAATCTCGGTTAATCATTGCTTCTGCTGCTCGTTCAGTTTCCTCGAATTCCAGCAGAGGTTACTCCTTCCGGTACACCTATTGCATGCCGATGCACAAGATAAATATCATGGATGCATAAGGAATGACATGATGCTCATGATGAATGAATCACAATGGGTGTTTATGAAAACATCACTGGACACTCGTTTACCGAGTAATTAGCTCTATTCAAATCACTTTAAGCATGTATCCAACTTAACTTAAATAACAAGAGCAACTTACCTAACTTGCATAACCTAAGATAAAGATGCTCATCTTCAGTTAAAGGCCTATCACCTAAGAACATTACCACAACTTAGAATAATAAAGGTATACATCATTTAACATTTAAGTTTCATATGCATACAAGTAGTCCCTTAATTAAATCACAACTAAAGTTCTACAATTCCAATTGACTTGCATGAGGACATTCTGGAAAGCTTATGAAATTCTCTACAAAACATTTGTAAACATCAAAGCATGATTCATATGTTAACTAAATCTATTTCCAGCAAACCTAGAATCTGTCCAGAATGACGGGGTTACTAACTTAATTATTTAAGGATTGTGCAAAAGCATACTTTGATCAAACCAAGTTTACCAACTTGTTTTGCATACCTAATAAACATCAGAAAGTATAGTGTCAACTTCTAAATAAATTATTTAATACCCTTTTCTAATTTATCTAGTTAATTAGGTGATTAAAGCAATATATAGTAAAACTATTCAGAAAAATCTACAAAAATTACAGTAGCTATCTCATGCTTCACGTAGACTACCATAAAAATTTCAAAGCCTTTGAGTAAGTATAACAGTCTACACAAAAATGATAAGGCATACTGGCTTGAAATGGCATAATTAAGAAATCCTAATGAAAAGTGTCAAGCAACAGATTTCACATTTTTCCTAGCATCATTCTAGCATAAGAATAGTACTCACCAAATTTTACCTTTACTGGATCTATAGAAAAATTATGAAAATTCACACAAGATCCACCCATTAATAAAAAGAAATTTTATAACTTAAAAACTACACATGCACTAGCTCTGAATTTTTAACCAGAGACTCTACTAAACCAAAATAGAGGACCCACAAAATTTCATAATTTTTGGACCACAGAAACTCAAGATAAAATTCAAACAAGTTTGCATGCTTCTAAAAACACAATTCAAACTCCTATTTAATTCATCCAATTTTTCTAAAACATGTGCTCATATACTATTTTTGTTAAATACTAGACAATACTAGGAACTCAACAAAATTAGAACCATAGCATTTGGATCTATATACTAGGAGCTACATATTTTTCAAGATGTACATAAATCTGTGAAAATAAAATATACAAAACAAATCGAAAACAACTCGTACAGTTGGAGCGTACATGCTTGGCTGCTCATGGCGCACTGATCATGCCCAAGGCGACGGCGCTGGCCCGAGCTGGACTCCCGCCTCCAGCGTTAGAGACCGGACGAAGCAGGGCCCGCTCGTCGTGAAGGAAACAAGGGAGGAGGCGGCACGCCGCGGTGGCCTAGTTCGCCGCCGGTGGGTTTTTCCGCGAACTTCAGCAACACCGTCGTGTCCCCCCACACACATGCGCATCTAGAGGACCCATCTATTGCAACGAAGAGTGCGGTGGCTAGAGGGGGTGGTGGCGAGCACGGCGGCGCAGACGGCGCGCAGCACGTCCGGCTCCGGCGAGGCTCTGGTGCTGCTTGCCCTAACGGTTGACACTACGAGCTTCAGCGGTGTTCCTAGGACCTAGCGCGAGAGAAGGAGGGGTGGAAAGGCGCGAGGACAAGCTGGCGGCGTGGGCGCCAACTCCGGTGAACTTCCGCCATGGCTACGGTGGGGAAGAAGCACGAATCGCCCTTACCGAGGCTCGATTGACCCGGTGAGAGGTGGAGGAGGTCACGGAGAGGCTACTGGTGGACGGGCAGCGCGTTTCGTGGTGGTGTCGCGCGCGCGGCCAGCTGCGATGCTTTCGGTCGGCAATGGCGGGCGGCTTAGCTCTCGACAGCGGCGTCTGCGGTGGAGGGCGAGAAAATGTGAAATGGGGACGGTGAGTCGTCAGACGGTAGCGTGGGTGGCTTTCAAAAGCGCGTCTGTGGCCGGGGGAGGCGCTGACAATGGCGTGGCAAAGCATGACAACAAGCCAAGCGACGAGTGTCCCCCCGCGTCGGTGAAATCTGAAATTTGATCATCAGAGCGTCGATTCATTGTTCCATTCCGAAACTGACAGTAGCGACTTCAACACCTTATTACGGCTAATCCAATGCCCTTTTCAAAAATGGTGTACATGAAAATGTAGATGTATGGTAGGACTACATCTTTGATTTAGAAATCAACAACTCATTCGATCTGGATCAGAAGTTATATGAAGCCCAAGTTGGCTGATCTAAGCTGAAATGCACCATGACTTAGGATATTTTTCTAAGTGTTGAAAACAGCATGTATTTCTAACTTGTGGGCCATGTTTGACCATGCTCTAGACCTTTTCATGAGTTGACCATAAAACAACTTTTGTTCCTTAATAAATTCACTACAACTTTGCTTTAGGTTGCTCAAGCATGCATAGACTCTAAGTTACACTTTTTAAACAGTCAAACAGTGAGACTCCAAGGGTCAATTCAAGTCAAACTTGCACTTGAGGGCATTTTGGTCATTTTGATCTACATGAACAATGTCCCAACAAGTAACCTAAGTGTAGTTAAGGTGTAATAGACCATGATCAACCAATTTACAAAATTGTTATACCACTTCTAATGATCACATGTGATACAGAAAATAAAAACAAGCAATTCGTACATATGTTTCAATACAATGTTTCGCATGTTGCATGACCTTGTTGTTATCCTACACTTATCACATTACTACCATGTTGCCATGTTTCATGGTATAAGAATTTCATGTTGCATTCACAAGTTACACCATTACTATTCACAACAATCAAGCATGAAACATACACAGTTGAAATTGTTGCACATGCATGTTTCAGTAACAATGGCGATGATGACATAGATGATGCATATGTTTATGAAATGAAATGCACTTAGTGGAAGCCAAACACCAAGGGTGTTACAAAGTTCATTGAATTGCTGCACATTATCATTTGAAATACTGTCTTCTGAATAAACTAACTTGCCTTTGTTTTTTTGTTGAGCTTTGGCTGCATTTTGCCCTAGTGGTCGACACCTAGATGAAGGGTCTGCATCTTCGCTCTCTGGATTTGAAGAAGTATAAGCTCCTGATTCATTCAACCGACTTCTCTTATTCATCATTTCTTCAATCGGGTAAGCTTTACTCCACTTGGGCTGATCCTTCACTGCCTTCCACCAATATTCTAGTGCAAAAGGCCTTTTTTTCTTTGCAGCTCCTTTGTATTCTTCCCGTGCTCTCTCTATGACTTGATCATCATATTCACCACTGCCATGCTCCCTTTTTTCCTTGTCATAGCATGCATTAAACTTGGTAATAAAAGGAGTCTTTTGCCAATGGTTCTTGCCTTTGAGTAGCACTTCTTCTCTGTTGTTTGGGTGCATGCATGTTGTATTCTCTTTGCAACATCCTTCCAATACCTATCTCCCTTCTATCAACTCCAACAAGCTGGATCTGTGGAATGTTTTATCCAAGCACTTACTAGTCGAAGATTTTCTTCTTGACCCCCAATGTACATGCCCTTCTCTCTTTTCTAACTCATCGTGGTTGCTCTCACTCCTCTCACTCCAAAGCTGCTTTGCTTGATAGGATCTGCACCAAGTTCTTTGCTCTTGGGACCTTTGGAGAAATTTGAACCAATCAGACTACTCTCATCACCTCATGAATCGGTGGCATGGCTACCTTGAAAAAAGTCTATGGACCCAACCGGTGAAGCTTCTTCGCCTCCTTGTGGGTGTTGTCCCACACCCACAAAGACCTGTGGTCTGAACTCCCGGGATATCCTTGTGTGAATGAAAATTGTGGGTAATTTGGGTTTGGGCTCCAAAAGGATTGAATATTCGTGGATATGGGTGGTGGAAATTTGGAGGAAATTGTGGTGGTGGATAGCTCATGGGGTATTGGGGTGAGGCTAAACGATGCTGTTGACTGACCTGTTTTTCAGGATCAACACTTGTGAATGCAAAATTCATCAGGTTTGTGAAAGACGAAGTGTTGTCCATGTCTATACACAGGAAGGCAAATTTGTGGAAGACAGATTTGAATGAGTGCTTGTGCATGTGTTGCGGTGTTACCTCTGTATATGTATATATAGGGTAGTGGTCTGGGTGCTGGGAGGAGAGCGTAGTGGTTTAGAAGCAAAGAACGGTCATGTGACTGTTGCCCTTTTGAAGGCTCAACTGCCAACTACTTATACAGTAACTTTATAATATTTAAAGAAGTTGGAACCGGCACAAATACTTTCACCGCTCTAGCTTTTTCTGACGTCACTCAAGAGTTGGCAATACCTCCACAGTGGTAGGAGCGATGCTTACTTTATCTCTCTCCTTTTCTAACCGTACTTCAGCAACACACTGTGGAGGGCCTTACGATGCAGTCTTGCATGCAAGGGAGACACAGGGAGATTGGCACGGTCAAACAGGTCAGTTTTAGAAATAAAAATTATAACTGTGTTAATTTTAGAAATAGTTTTAAAAGTTATAAAAATAAAAAAAAATCTTCCTTGTCTACCTAATGCCTTGTCAAATCCACGGCACTGACTCAACCCCGCACAGCCACCAACCTGCCTTGTTCCAAATTCCCCTGACCCGTCGGTCAGCTATCCGATCTGGGTTCACCACGGTCCTCTTTCTCCTCATCGGCATGAGCGGCTTCTTGGTAAGCATAGCTAGGCTTTTGGCTTGCTTCCCCGAGGGCGCAAGACACGGCTCTTGCTCTTGGAAGCTAGGCTTCGATTGGTTCTTGCTCTTGGCAGCCAAGCCGAGCTGACCTTTGATTTCAGATGAAAATTTTCAGTTTGACTCTGACTGTGTGCGGTTCTTGTTGCTGTCGCGATTCGCTAGGCGGTGGTCGGCAAGATCGGCACTTTCCTGCTGTGGGTGCTGTTCCTGGTCTTGCAGACCGCCACCAGGATCGTCGGCAGCCTCCTTGCCAGCCCAGCTGAGCAGCAGGAGGACCACCATCAGGAGTTCGCGGCGGGACGGCACAGGTCGCCGCCAGCCTCCCCACATCGCGAACTTTACGAGCCGGCGTCTGCGCCGCCGGCGCAGCTATTGGACCCGCCGCCGCTTCCGTACCTTGCTTTTGCTCCCGCTGCGGATGGGAACTCGTCCTCTAGCTTCCGGCGGCGAGCCAGTGCGCCGCTGGCCCGAGCGGATGAAGACGCTGTGGTGTCATCGAGCGCTTACTCGCGTCCCACGGTGGCGGTGGCTCATACAAATTCTGTGTCAGCGACACCACTGAGGACAATCGAGACGCGGGCGATGCCATCGAGGCTGGCGACAGCCGGGGGTAAGCGGCCGAGGCTCGAGAGGAAGTACTCCAAGATTGTTGACCAGTACCGATCCTTGGATGAGGTATGTACGCATAATGCCCTAGTGTTATGTTTCCTTCGAGATGCAGTGACGATCAAATGTTGAAAATGAGGGGACGAGCTTTCGGATCTTTGATTGCTTGATAAACTACATGCTGCTTCAAATGAGCATGGATTTGGAACTTCATTCCAATCGAGATGTTGGATATGTCGAACTAGCTATCATAAATTCTTGGATAATTGAGGCCCTCTCTGGCGGGCTTGGGCTTCTAAAAAAACAGAGAAGCCAGACAAATCCACCCAAAACGGCTTCGGCTTCACTGTTTTTTTTGGCTTGGTTTTGGCTTTAGAAGCCATTCTTGTGTGTACTCGTTTGGTAAACCGTTGGAGAAGTCCCAACAAAAGCCCTGATGCTGGTGCATGTCGTTGCCATTGGACAGTAGCTCTAGTTTTTAAGTGGGTCATAAATATCAACATCTGTATTCTGTTTACTGTTTAACTGGTCATAAAGTCTGTAGGAAGATTCTGAGTGTTGTAGTGATACCTTGTTCGGATAAGATAGCTGATACATCCACATACGTAGCTTTATTTTTTAAAATGACTGATTAGTGATTACACATAAAGATTGGAGTATGTTAAAGCTCAGAGTTAGCTAGAGAAGAAACTTCCAAGCAGGAAATGCTATAATGGGATATGGCTGTTTGGACAAATTATTTGTTTTCAAGTTTCTTTGGTGCTTGTATTTGAACTTACTACAGTAGATAGGCTCCCTGTGTTTCAGTGGGCATTTCTGCAAGAAGTATTTCTTAAAACATTGAACATTGAAAATGCGCTTACCAGACATTGTGGAAGACTTCATGCTATTCCGTAGTGAAACAAGAATTTACACAAGGATGTAATCGGTGTGCCAGCCATAATTGACTTTAAGGCATGCACAGTTTTTTGAGTAATTGGACTGTTAGCATGATTAATATCTGCCATTATTGTGTATGGACTGCCTCCTGGGATTCTACCCAGAGTGCTGCCTAGGGACTCTCTAGGCGTGTTGCCTGGGACTTCCCCCCTCTTAATTCTCTAGCTTAGCCTTGTCTATATATCTGTAGCCATACTCTTCTTCAGATTATCAAGAAATACAGAAGCGTGTTCATGCTCTAATATGGTATCAAGAGACTAGATCCTACGATCTCCTCGTTCCGCAGTCTCCCATGAAATCCGCTACCGCTGCCCACGAACGCGACGCTGCCGCCATCGCCATGGCCAAGGACCAGGCCGACTTGGAGGACGCAGCTACGGCTGCCACCCGCGTAGCCGCTGCCGCCTAGGACCGTGTCCGTGCAGCTCTCGCCGCTCTTGAAGATGAACGTGCTGCCACTGAGTCCCTTGAGCGCGAAGCTGTCTCTGCTCAGGCTCGTGCCACCCTGCCTCGTCTAGATGGCAATGCATCTGTTGCTGACATTGACAGCGGCGACGACGTCTACTCCGACTACTGCTCTTCTGTTTTGCTGCAGCAGCAGAGTTGGCATTCGATTAGCTCTGCTGACTACTGGTGAAGTATGGCAATAGGCCAACTACTTCATGTACTAGTTAGTACAAGTAGATGTATGGTAGTAGGCCAAGAGTTGTAGTGGCTGATCTCAGTCATGTAGGAGTAGTTGGGGCTGTCTCAGCCATACTCTTATGTACCTTATAGCTGGTACAAGAGTTGTATATATACTCTTAAGTCATAGAAATGAAAATTCAGAGTTTCAGACTTGTGCAAATGCTGCCCGTTCTTCTACCTCTAGCTGTGTCGTGCGTGAGTGTGCTGGTGAGCTTATTGCTCACCTATGCAGTGGATTTCTGTGACCGGAAGGTCCCGGGTTCGAGTCGCGGTCTCCTCGCATTGCACAGGCGAGGGTAAGGCTTGCCACTGACACCCTTTCCCAGACCCCGCACAGAGCGGGAGCTCTCTGCACTGGGTACTCCCTTTATGTAGTGGATTTCTGTGCCGAGTGGTATCGGAGCTAGGTTGATCGCCGGCGATGGTGCAAGATGACGAAACAGGGACAACACACGGTGGCGGAGACTGGATTCTGCCATGGTGGTCCCGTTCACCTGTGCGCCAGGAGATCGTCGTGCAGAGGACTGTGCGGGAGGTTGGCGGGGCCAACTGGTTGGTCCTCACCTGCACCAACTACGGCGAGTGGGCAGTGCTCATGAAGGTCAAGCTCAGAGCATAGAAGCTCTGGCGGGCCATCTAGGAGGGCACTGGAGATGAGGAAGATTGCTCGGCGATGGAGGTGATCCTCTTCCGCCGTGCCTCACGAGTATGTGGAGTCCCTCGGCACCAAGGACTTTGCCAAGGCTGCTTGGGACGCCCTCAAGGCCATGCGCCTACGAATGGAAATAGAATGAGGCAACGGGCGGCGTGAGTCATGATTCCTGACTGGTGGTGTGAAGTGGCAGTGGCTACCAGGGGGAGTGGGAGGAAGGGAAGATGCAAATGAGATTAGGGTTCGGTTTCCCATCGGCATGGAATATATATTGCTTGTTTTGGTAGATGGGCTGGGCCGAGAGTGTGTTTTTGGGCTGAAAGGACATGAAATGTTTATAGAGTTGTTGGGTTAAATTTGCTCGCGGGTATGCGGGTACGGGTAGTATGCAGCTGTACCCACACCCGCTTACCCGATGGGTAGAGGTTTTTGCCCATTACAAAACCTACAAGTGACGATATCATCCCATACCCGCCTTCTTATCGGGTAAAACCGATCGGGCACTTGGGTTTCGGGTACCCATTGCTATCTTTAACTAGGATACTTGTCGGCGCTGCGAGAAGACAGGGCATTGGGCTCGAAATTGCAAGAATCCCAAGGAGAAGGCGGAGGCGCACCTCACGCAGGTGGATGACGAGGAGCCCACCCTCCTGATGGCGGAGTTCTGTGCGCTGAACGACGTCGCGGTAGAGCCGGTGTCGAGAGAGGAGTTGAGGACTATGGAGCAAAGGAAGCAGAGCGTCCTCCTCGACAAGTCATGTTCCCAAGTCCATCTCGGACGTGTGGGCGGTGGCACGGAGCATAGGTGGTACTTGGACTCCGTTGCTAGCAACCACATGACGAGCTTCAGGGCTCGGCGTTGGATGGCGACATGACGGGCTCGGTCAAGTTCGGCGATGGGTCGAAAGTGGACATCCGTGGCCGTGGCACCATCATCTTTTGGTTCCAGAACGAAGAACATCGCGCGCTGACAGACGTCTACTACATCCCTCAGCTGTGCTCGATCATCGTTAGCATCGGCAAGCTAGACGAGCGCGATTGCAAGGTGCTTGTCAATAGCGGCGTGCTGCGGATTTGGGATCGAGAGCGCTGGTTTCTCGCCAAGGTACAACACTCATGAAATTGTTTCTACATGCTCGATTTGAAAGTAGAGCAGCCGTTGTGCCCGGCGGCGTGGCATGCCCGGTTTGGCCATCTGAGCTTCGACGCACTTGGGTGTTTGGAGAAGATGGTGCGCGGGCTGCCACACATTGAGCACGCCGGCGAGCTGTGTGACAACTGCCTGGCGGGGAAAGGCGGCCAAGTATTGCGCGGGGGATGTGCTAGGGCTCGTCCACGGCGATCTCTACGGGCCAATCGTGCCGACTACGGATGGCGGGCAGCGCTATTTCCTGCTGCTCGTGGACGACTGCAGCCGCTACATGTGGCTGCAGCTCCCGATGAGCAAGGACAAGGCGGCAGAGGCGATCAAGCGGTTCCAGGCTCGGGCTAAGGCGGAGTCTGGGAAGATGCTGCGGGTTTGGTGGACCGATCGCGGCGGCGAGTTCACCTCGGTGGAGTTTGCTGCGTGCTACACGAATCACGGCATGGCACGCCATCTCACTATTCGCCGCAGCAGAATGGAGTCATGGAGTGGCAGAACTAGGTGGTGGTAGGCATGGCGCGCAGCATGATGAAGGCTAAGCGCATGCCGGTGGTGTTCATCCTCAACCGCGCGCCCACGAAGAGCTTGAAGGGCATGGCGCCATTCGAAGCTTGGTTCGGAAGGAAGCCTGACGTCTCCTTCATGCGGACATTCGGGTGTGTCGGTCATGTCAAGAAGACGAAGCTGAACCTCACCAAGATTGAAGATAGGAGCACACCGATGGTGCTCCTAGGCCACGAGAAGGGTAGCAAGGCGTATTGGCTCTACGATCCGCGTGGAGGCAAGGTGGTGGTCTCTCGGGATGTAGTGTTCGACAAAATGGTAGCCTAGGAATTAGGATTGGGAGGATCCGGCCACGGGGGAAGCCAGTGACGTCGGAGGCACGTTCGTCGTCGAGCACTTGGTCATCCATGGCGGTGGAGATGCTGGAGCACAGGATCGGCTGCGGACGCGCCAAGTTTTATGTGTTGAGTTTGAATATTTGGAAAATAATATGAGTACATTGGTGTCGATTAGTAGTTTCTACTTGTATAACATTAATATGTTTGAATATACTACAACAATTTGTATTCAGTGCTGTGTTTTTTTTTTACCGCAAAAGACTGTGGGGGAGATCCCCACAGTGATAGATTTTGTATTTACTAAAAGGTAGAACGTACTTACAAACAGGGATTAACTAAAAGCATCCAGCCAAACACAAAAGGATGACCGCAGGTCATCCTTGAAACGAACAGACTGCAAGAAACATTGATTTTTAAAGTTTGCCAACCAAGCCGATGGAGTTGGATCACGCCTCTGAAAAACCTTGTCATTGCGCATCTTCCACAACTCCCATGCTACTATCAGGGCTGCCTCCGTGAAGAAAGGAACATTGTGAACCTGTCCTGCCTGTACCAATCTATCCGAAAGTTGCAGCGTGTCATTCCAGTCAAAATGGATGATTGCCCAACATTCCTTCGTGAAGGGTCAGTCGAAGAATAAGTGATCAATGGTCTCGTCTTCACCACGGTTGCACATGACACAGATGTTATCATCCTGTATGTTCAGATGTCGTCTCTGGAGCATAGACTTGGTATTCAAACGGTCCACTAGGACAAGCCACGCAAAGAATTTCACACGTGGAGTGCATCTAGATTTCCAGATGGC